AGCTACTTGGGAAGCTGAGGCAAGAGGATTACTTGAGCCCAAAGAGTTTGAGGTTTCTGTGAGCTATAATGCCACAGTACTCTACACAGAGAAAGTGAGACCCTGTCTCAAATAAATAAATATTTTTAAAAATTAAATTTAAAAAATTAAAATTTAAAAAGTTTGTAAGATTAAAAAAGTTACATAAGCTAAGGTTAATTAACTATTGAAGAAAGAAAAAATCTTTACAAATTTATTGGAGCCTAAGTGTACAATATTTATAATATTTATCTACAATATCTGCAATATTTATAATATTTATAATATTTATCTACAATGGTGCACAGTAATGTCCTAGGGCAGTGTTTTTCAACTTTTATATCTCACAGTGCACTTGAGCCTATAGTTAAACTTCCAACAGCACACTGAAATTATGTTGATCAAAAAAAAAAAAAGAGTTAAAGATAAATACTGTGCCTTGAACTTCTTTCAAAAATAATTTAATTAATGGTCTTAAAAACAATTGCAGCCCACCTAAGATCTAACCGCACACCAGTGTGCTGTGGCACCTCGGTTGCAAGTGACCATCCTCGGCCTCCCATTCACTCACTCACTGACTCACCCAGAGCAATTTCCAGTCCTGCAAGCTCCATTCGGGGTAAGCGCCCTATACAGGTGAACCATTTTTATCTTTTCTATGTTTAGGGGCATAAATACTTAACATTGTGTTCCAGTTGCCCACAGTATTCTGTCCACTAATCTGCTCTAAAGGTTTGTAGCGAAGGAGCAGTAGGCTATTCCCTATATCCTAGGTGTGTGGTAGACTACACCATCTAGGTTGATATAAGTACACTGCATGATGTGCACACAGTGATGAAATTGCCTAACGAGGCATGTCACAGAACGTATCCCCATTGTTCATTAAGCAGCACGTGACTGCATATCCTTTAAATAGCATGCCACTTAGAGACCTACCTGCATGTGCACACACAGACGTTTAGTATTCATGGACCCACATAGCTTGCACATTATCATGAACACAGTTTATTCATCAAAGGCCCCAGGGGCATCTTGCAGCATTGCACACAACCTTGCACATGCAACTCCCCACCACCTGGGAAGCTTCAGCCTCCCTATAAATTTTATAGGGTAATGGTTGAGATGCTCACTCTGAAGTCAGCTGGCCTGAGTGAGAATCCCAGTTCTGCTATTTACCAGCTGATCTTGAAGGGGCTCATACGATTTATAATGAACTTAGAATTGTACTAAGCCCAGGGTGGGTACTCAATAAACTCTATCTATAATTATCACACAGTTTCAAATGTTTACTGTTCCCATTTCACAGCCAAGGAAACTGATGTCCAGAGAGTGAAAGTGATTTGTCCAAAGTCATAAGAATGAGGATAAAAATGGTGGCGGCAGAGATAATGACCATGCTGGCTATGATGGTAATGATGGTGGTAATGAAGGTGGTGGCGATGATGGTGATGATGGTGGGAGGAGAGGATTGATGATGGTGGTGGTGATGATAATGAAGACAATGATGATGATGATGATGGTGGTGTGGAAGATGATGAGGAGGAGGACGATGAAGATAGCCATGATGGTCAGGATGGAGATATGTAGCACGTAAAAGAGCCTAGCATTGTTCTAAGTGATTTTATACATATTGTCTCATTTAATCCCCATAACAACCATATGAGATAAGCACTATAATTACCCCCACTTCATTTTATTTTTTTAATGTCTGTTCTTATTTTATTCTATTTTGGATTAATATAAGGGTACATACAATTACATTACGTTGTTTGCATTTGTTAGGAGAAGTCCAAGTTAGGGAAATTGAGGCACATAAATGTTAAGTCACTTGCCCCAAGTTCCATAGTGGGTAAGGGTGAAACAGAGAGTCGGCCTCCAAGGTCATTGTAGAGTTACAAGGGCACTGATACCTTGGTCTCCCTTTCCTCCAATCGCCCCCCACATGAACTCCAGGACCCTTGAATGATATTGGGCTTCTCCTTGTGACTCTGACTCTATCCATCTGTGGGGGCCTTTCTCACTGACTCTGTTAAGACCTCTTCTCTGGTTTATGTTCTTTTCTAGGAATCCCGTACCCTTAGCTCAAGGTATGGGGAACCCCAAATAACTACAACCAAGAACCCTGGATTCCATTCCTAGCCCTATGCAAAGAACCACATGGCCATGGCCAAGTCCCTTAACTTCTCTGGCTCCCACTCTGCCCATCTGTGAAATGGGAATGACTGTGTCTCCCTCAAAGGAGTTGTTTCTAAGACTGGGCATCTTCATGAGCATGAATGGCCTTCATAAACTATGAAAGTACCTACAGGTATTGACAGCAGCGTCAGGGAGCTGGGAAGCTCTCAAAAACCCTGGCTCTCAGTTTCTGTGTTCAGAGTAGCACCTGGATTTCTGTTTGGCTTTGTTGGAAATTCCACAACCCTGGGGTCCTTCTGCAGAAAGTACTCAGGGAGAGATGGTCTTGGGGCCAGCCAGAGCAGAGTCTTAGAAACAAACTAGCCTACATGACTTTTCCTAGCAACAAGGAAAAGTTATATCTCAGTTAGTATAGGCTCTGTTACCCTGCAGCAACAAATAATCTCCCAAATCACAGTGGCTGAAAACCACATTATTTCTTGTTCACATTAAATTCCCATCACCTGTCGGCAGGGGGCTCTGTTCAAGCTCATCACTGGACTCCAGAGTGATGGAACAGCGAACATCATGCATGTTGCCAGTCTAGAGGGTCTCACTTTGTCAGCTAAGTGCATGGTCTGAAAGTGACACGTGCAAATGCTGTTCACAAAGTAATGAGTCAAAGCTAACACAAAACCCCACTCAAAGGGACCAGGTAGAGCAATCCTACCATATGGGAACAGCTGGAGATAATTGGATACCAGCACTAATGACGACCACAAGGAAGAAAAAGGCAGCAGCTATAACTCACACCAGGCGAGCACTGTTCCCTGCAGCCAGAACTGCTGGGGTGGACCAAGTGTGCCCCTTCCTGTGAACCATTCCCTCCCAAGGCAACATTTTGGGGATTACGTGGTCTATGGAGTCCTAAGGTCTGAATGTGGAAGGTGGCTTTTCAACAATGCTGCATAACTATGGGACAGTTATTTCCTCTTTTAACCTAGATTCCTCATTTGCAAAACAGGGTAAACTCCCAACCAAAAAGCAATGTTAAGGAGATAACACTATATTATGCCTGGCACTTACAGGGTGGCCACAAATGGTGGCCATTATTCTCCAAGGGCTCAGGCTTTGAAGAGACTCACCCTGTGTCCACCCTCTACCCCAGCCTCTGAGCCTCGCCTTAGCCCTTCCTACCTTGGTCTGTCCCTACTCTCATCGAGTTTCTGCAGTCCTGTCATGCCTTGCAGTGAAGCTGGGCCCTCGCTGGCTGAGAATTTCCACTCCCCCATAGGAGAAGTGAGGGGAATGCTACGGCCGAAGGGTGATCCAAAGAAACTCAGTGGCTTATCTGCATGCTCGCTAATGAGGAAAATAGTCACCCATGGAAACCCAGAGACTAGAAGGTGAGAAAGAGATGGTCCCAGGAGCATAGATTCTCATGCTGAGCTCCTCCCTCTGCCGAAGCTCATGGCTGCCTCTGCCTCCAGAATGACTGGTGGGTGCTCACTTCAGCAGCACATACATAATGTTGGAATGCTACAGAGAAGATTAGCATGGCTCCTGTGCAAGGATGGCAGAATAACCGGAGGCCTGCCCCCAGCTCCCGTGGGTGGAGAAAAGCCAGGGAAGGGGGAGTCTGTCCTCCTCAAGCCTATCCTTCCTCAGCCTCTTTATCTCTTCTTCCCATCCTTCTCCCAAGCACATATATACACCCTCATAGCTCCAGCTATCACCCCTAAGTGAACAGCTCTCATCTCTTTCTTTGGCCCAAACCTCTCTCCCAAGGTTCATATGCCCCTTGCCTCCTGGGCACCTCCATGTCCATGTCCACAAGCACCCCAAATTCAACCTGTCCAAACCCAACTCATCTTCTCTCCCAGCCCACCCCAACCTGGTCTTCCTCCCACTTTCCCTATGTTTTTGTATGAGTGATCGAAGACATTCAGCATTGAATGTTCAGCACAACTTTAATGCCTGCTGCTAGGAGCAGGGAGCTGTGGATCCTGAGATGAAAGATGTGGTCTCAGCCCTGGGCAAGGTCTTAGTCTATAGGGAAAGACAGATGAGAACCAAGTGAGTTAATTGCAGGGGCACTGGGGGCAGAAGAGGGAGTGAACTGCCCTACAGGTAAGGCAGGGTGTTGTCAGGAAAACATCCCAGAGGAGGCGACCTGAAGGATAAGTGTCCTGGGAACGGGTGGGAGACAGCATTCCAGACAAAGGGAACCACAAGCACAGAGCAGCTCAACAGCACAGAGCATTCAGAGAGAACAGTCCTCTGTGGCTACAGCCTCAGTGCAAAACCAGAGGAAAGGAGTGAGTGGGAGAAACTAGGTGCCAAAGCAAGCAGGAGACAAGGGTTTCAGTATCACTTTGCTTGGTCCTAAGAGTGGACTCCCTCTACTAATGGAAGCGCATGGGCAAGACAAGAGTGAGCCAGGTTTTCTCACCAGGGAATGAGGGACCTCTGGGAAATCCCTCAGCAGAGTCCAAGTTCAACAAAGCCTCCCAGAAATAGAGGCCCTTCTTGGACCTTATAGCTTATACCTCCCGTAACTGGTGCTGGCTACTACTCCTTAAGGCCCTGACTCTTTCTCATTGTCCTGGACTCTTCCATGAACTCTTTCTATTCCCTCTGGAGCCTTGGGTTGGCTGCTCTCGAGTTTCATACACCCCAGGTCCAGCCAGCTGAAACCCAGGGAGGGCTGGGGGTTTACAGAGATGAGATTGATGGGGGCAGTGAGTGGCCTAGACCTCTAGGTCCAGCATTACAGCAGATCCTCAGTGCCTTAGAGGAAGCACTTGGACTGAGGGCAATGGGAAGCCATAGATGGGTTCTAAAGAAAGAAATTATAAAGTTATATTTGTGAATTGAACAGATGATGGGAAGTTGCCCTAAGTACTTGGCAGTATTGGCCAGAATATTCAAAGGGAGGCAGTCCTGGCCCTTATTCTCATAAATCAGAGGCTCTGGGGCAAACAAAGTGTACTAATGAGGGCTAGTCACTAAAGAAATTCATTTCCCAGACTCAACATTCATACCTTTTCATGTAGATAAAGAGCAGAAGTCTTGTTCAAGGTCATTGCATGATCACCTGAGCTGAGCTCAAGCCCAATCTCCAGCCCAGTGTTGCAGAGCTGCTGTGGCTGCAAGCGGATTAGGAACCCTTACAGAAGGGAAGAAATTGTTTCCAACTTTCTCCAGGGAGTGGAGACTCCCCCCACCCATTGCCTCCTTATGTGGGCAGCCTAAACCTATAGCCCCACTTCCTCCACATCCCACTTCTCTGGACTTTCTGGGTCAAGACCAAAGCAGCCAGATCAGCAACCTTGCCATCACGATGGCAGGGCCGTAGAGAGGCAGAGATCCATAAGAGGAGTCCCTAACATCCTTTTTGGTATCTGAACATAAACATTCTGCAGCCCACAATTCAAACGTGCAGACTTGCGTACACACGCGCACACACACACACACACACACACACACACGAGCTGCCTGCTGCCCACACCCAGCCAAAGCCCTTCAAAAATACCTCAAGGATGCACCAGCTGCCCACGTTTTAGCCAGTCATCCCTCTGAAACGCCAGACCACCACACAGAGCAGTTGCCCTTTGGTCCTGCTCACAGGCTTCCTTTTCCTCTGTAGGCTTTTTGTCTCTTAAATCTCCCGTCAGGCAAGTCCTCTGTCTCCTTGCTGCTTTCCATCTCGATTTCTCTCTGCATCTTTCTGGATCTTAATGAGCCTTTCATCTCCGTCTTCCAAGGTCTCTCTGGGTTTCTGCCTTGGTCTAGCTGTGCCTATGTCTTTGTCTCTTGGAACTTTTCTATCTTTTTCTCTGTTGCTGTGACTCTTTTTCTAAGGCATCATCTAAGGCAGAGTAGAAGGGCCCTTAGACTACAACAATCCCCAAAGTGTACTTATGGAAATGAGGATGTAGGAGTCCAACAAGGAGGAGAGCCTTGCCCATGAGCATACACCTAGCCTTGTCCTACCATGGTCAAAATTGTGCTTGTTTTATCAACACGAAAGTCTTCCTTGTCAAGAAAGACTCATCAGTTTGTTCTAATGCCAAGTAGAAAAAAAGAGCAGGATAAGGAGGACAATGTGATTCTACAGCAGCTAGGTGTCGCAGGGAGAACTCTGGACCAGAAGATGAGAACTTAGTTCGACTAAGAGTTGGCCCATGAACCTGCAATTTAACTTCAGGCATGTCACTTGCTCTCTCTGAGCCTCAGTTGCCCCTTCTGTGAAATGGAGCTAACTACAGCAATGCTGGATGCTTCACAAGCTTCTGGCTAATCCTCTCTTAGAGGAAGGATGCGGAAGTGCTTTGGAATAAATTGTAAAACATCCAACAAGTATGGAGGGCAGGACAAGGATGATGACTGATGACTTATAATGATGATGAGCTTGGTGACAATAATGATGACAATGATGGTGATGATAGTAATAATGGTTATGATGATGATGGTGGTGGTACTGAGACTAGCGATGATGGTAATAACGAGATTGATGGTGTTGAGATGACAAGAGCAATAAGGGTAGTGATGAGACCTATGATGACCGTGATTATGATGGTGATGGAGTAATAGTGATGGTGGTGATGTTGGTGATAAGAGGTGTGATGGTGGTGACCACAGCGATGGTGGTGATGATGCTGATGCTGATATTGGAGATTATGGTGGTGATCGTAGCAATAATGGTGGTGATGATGGTGGTGCTGGTAACAATGGCGATGATGGTGGTGAGAGTTGAGATGAGGGTGACAGTAGTAATGATGGTGACCACGTTCACAACAACAGAATGCATTGCCCTAGACCCAGCCCTCTGTGACCAACATGTAAAACAGTGAATGCACTTCAGAGACAGCAGCCCCCTGTAGGGCTTCCTCATACCCAGGAACTTGTCCCCTTCTCGTATCAGCCCAGGCCTCTGATCCCACCTTCTCCTCAAGTCAGCCCAAACCTCAGATCCAAGCAGCAGACCCCTCAGCGCTCCCATCTCTTACTGCCCAGTTCCCCACAGGTGCCACTCTATGCTGCACTCATGTGTGTCCCCTCCTCTCTGCAGCCTAGGCTCCCCTCCCGGCCCCTCCCCAGCCTATTCTTTCCCTCCCTTCACCTCTACACCTGGGCGAAGAGAGCACACACACTTGCCACAGCTCTTTACCCCTAGGACACCTCCTATTTCCCTGCCCAGGCCTCCTTCTCTCAGCAGTGCCCAGCACTCAGCTTCCTAAGACAAGAGGCAGGATGGGCAGAGCCCTGCCTGCTGCCCACACACAGCTCTTCCTCCACACCTGCGATAGGACAACTCTAGAATGTAAGCTCACAGGGTGGCACCAAGCCCAGCTTTCAGTCTCGGTCCCCCCACCCCCCATTAGAGTGACCTCTTAGTCTCTGGAGACTATGAGAAGAGTCTCCTGCCAGGCCTAGATTGGGGCAGGGGGTGTTTCTAAACTCTACGCCCACCCTACTAGTCCTCAGCAGGCTGGAGCCAGAGGAAAGTAGCTGTAGGAGGGGCAGTGTCCTCTCCGTGTCCTGGGACAACCACTCCCCCTCCCCGCAGCCAATTTCTTAGCACAAGGAGGGGATCAGGACCAGTCAGAAGATGAGAAGCGATTAGGAGCAGGAGGGAAACAGCTGTCGGGCAGAACTGAAGCCTGGAGTTCGGAGCCCCAGTATCCTCAACCCAAGTATGTCTCCTATCCATTGTGCCTCAATTTCCCTTTTGTAAGAGGCATAGCCTCAGACAGATGCAGAAGCTACTGGGTGTCCTCACTGCAGGAGGAGAGTGGGTTGGCAGCTTCCCACAGCCCTGGCCTCCCCAGGGTCTCTGACAGAATCCCCTGGGTCTCCACCTCATGCCATGGCTGCACCTTGACAAGCACTGCTGAGAATCAATCACTCCCCGAAGAGCCAGGCCCCAGCCCCTGACATTCCAATTAAACACTTCACTCTGACCTTGGTCGCATCATCTAGGCTTGGAGTAACGTCATCCGTCTTCTCTGGATGGACGGAGTCTGTAGGCCAGGCTGGGGGAACGGGCAACCACCCGTCCCCAGAGCTGGCCTCGTCACCACAGGGACACATTTCAATCAAGAGGAACTGCAGCAGCGGCACTCTCGGGAAGGAAAGCCGTCAGCCTTCCCAGGGACAAGCATTCATCTCTGCGGGAGGAGAAAAACAGCCAGGGGGAGCCCCATGCTTATCCTGACGCCCTTCCCATCACACAGTCAGCTGGGAGCAGTAAGGGGGACCAGAGGACAGGGCAGATGGCCCCTAGTTAGATGTGGGAGACAGATCCTAGCAGGGATTCCCCCCTCCCCCAGCTGATGGGGGACAGCCAGCCCTTCCTGAGGCAGCCCCCACTCTGAAAGGGGAGAGAGGGCCCCTGCCCTGGAGTTTCTTCCGGACAGATGGGAGACAGCCTGGTGTGGGAAAGTCTTGAGCTGAGCAGGATTCCTGCCCTTGGGACCTCCTCTTTCTGATGGGGAGACTCAACCTTCCCCAACTTGTAGAAAGCACAGCCTGAGAGACACAAGGGAAGACACAGCCCCTGCCTTGGGATACTCCATCCAACGGGGAAACTTTGTGACATGTCC